CCTATTAAATGAAGCATAACAGTTCAAACTTTGGAATTCATGATGTGTTGGAAAATGTCTTAACGTTGTAGTTATTTATCTATGATTGTACCATCAGTAGAATTGCTTACCTAATAAAACTGCTCCCTAGTGTTGGATTTCTTGCTGAGTCCTGTATTATCTGTGACAAAGTTATTTTTGGTTAATGCAGTTTTATGTTTTTCCAACAACTTTGTAACTGCTGCGAAAGATTGGAAACTTTTATTATATCATTAAATAGGTAAATAGCTAAAAGTTTTGCTTCAGCAACGTAACACCTTATTGTGCCAGTTTTGGAGAATAATTGGCGAAGAATAATTGGAATAGGCTTCCAGGAAATATATTTTTTTTTAGAAGCTAAAAAAAAAATCCATATGACTAAGAAGAATTCTAGAAATATTCATAGTGTCTGTAGTCACCAAGTTAAAAAAAAAAATCTTTATTGTGAAAGGAGTCTTCTTTAGCTCCTAAATTCTTCAGTATTGAATGTCACAACTCGGCATATAACTGATATAGTCATCTAGGTTGCTGTGGTTTTCTAGAAAACAGTAAATAAAAGCCCTTTTTATATATATACACGTGTATATATATAAAAACTCGACCATATTCTTAACATTTTTCAAGAGATAGGTGGACAAGCAGGGAGTAAGTAGCAATTAAATTTAACTAAGTCCCTCCAGCCTCCCAACTTTTAGTTGCAGTCTTGTCTGTACTTTCAATTTGGAAATGGCTAGCCTTGTGCTGTTTCTATCTTGTTTAAAACTTTTTAAAAAAAGAAAGAAAAGAAAAAGAAAACTTTTAAAAATAAGTAGGCATCAGGTCTTTTTGTCTGTCTTGGATCTAACTTTCCATTTGTTACTTTAATGAAGAGGCAGCACCAAGCAGTCCTGTAGAATGCTCAAAGGTAGGACTGATTAGATGGGCTTGCTGTGATACTGGGACTTCCATAGCATTTACACAGGTAACAAAAAGGCCCTTCCAGCAACATCATATTCTACTTCAGTGTAGGCCTGGGTGTCCCTTAACTCCACTTACACCATTTCCACAATTCCTGCTTTAAAATCAACAAAGGTCCAGGTGCCTGCAGAAAAGCGAACCCAGGCTATGAGCTGCTGGGAGGTGCTGAGCCCGTCTCGCAGGACCGCAGCAGCAGGGGCAGGAGGCTTCCCGTGCGGTGGCGAGCGGCTCTGGGGCTGGCCTGGCGCACCGCGAGCGCGCCGCTGCCCCGCGCGTGAGGCTGCCGGCTCCCGCAGCGCCGTCACAGATAAACACCAGCCGGGCCCGGAACCAAC